TATATGAAATGCATGTTTTAAAATTCTAAAAGGCTGCCGGTATTGGTTTGTTATGAAAACTCTCTTAAACCATAAAAACATGAAAAAAGAGTAGGGCTTTTTTTTTTTTTTGGCTGAGGCCATAAGGGCTATGTGTTCTGAGAGCATACAATAGAGTTGCTTACACATGTCCCTTTCTTGAGTATTGAAATAAATGGAGCACAATTGTATGTCCCATTATGAAAAGAAAAAAAAAACAGTCAAAATGAAGCATCAACAGAATATGATACACGGGCCATTTTTGAAAACAAAAATTGTGCTATTGTCATCACATATGTGACAAACAAATTAGGAAGGGGAAATAGTAGTATTAAATTATATCCATCACAATGTCAAAATATCTAAAAGAAGAAGGCATAGAATGTTTCATAAGACTTTCAGTTAATAAATCTCCAAAGTAGCTTTTCTTTGATTGGGAAAATGAATTTATTGAATCTGATGTATATGCCTGAAATTCCATATTGTAGCTGAGGTTGTATTGTTCAGACATGTACATATAGTATAACTTATTCAATGATTGCCCCTTTTGAATTGTGCCTGTAGAGCAAAAATCAATATTAAAGCCCTAGATTTTTTTAAAGGGAAGTTTCATTTTTATGAGTTCAAGGTGAGTTTGAAGGAGATATTGCTACTTTAAAGTATCATCTTTAATCTTGTTACATACACAATTGAAGAGTCCGACCTTGCTCCAACTGAAATTAATAAAACTTTAACTATTGACTCAAGATTACATTACAGGATGTCAGGCTGTACTAATATAATTGAAACTATATTGAATATTTATTCTCCAAAGGCCATAGAATCAATGTTTTTGTTTTGGTTACCTTCTGCCCCTCATCAGATTATCATAAAATCAACTTTGTGTTGAGTCCTAAGGCAACAAAGCAAAGAATAACACATTTCAAGGCATCTATCTATTACATAAACTATGTACTTTGTATTTAAAGTTCACATTAAAAAAGTTGTAAAGGGCAGATACTTTTTGCTGGGTTTTAAAAAAAATTCAGAAAAGTACTAGGTGGAAATATATGTTTTCTTGTGATCTTAAATAAAATTGCTTTGCTCAAACTCTTATCAGTTTGGGAAGGATAAGTCCTTCTCACCCCCTCTCCCCCAAAATCATATGGCAACAGTATGAAATCTGCCTTAAGAAATGCAATATTCTACCTTGGTAAAGAGTCACAGTGAAGCTAATCTGTCTTGATAGACTTTCCAGCTTGGGAATAGTGGCTTCTTTGTGTGTGCCATATGTACACAGCAGCCATGGATATTGAACACAGCAATATGGCTCTGGCTAGAAGAAAGGCTGCAGATGACAGAGACCATTCGAAGTGATGCATCACACAACTCTCCATCAGAGTACAGTAAATCTCTCCTTCAGTGATCTGCACACTCTTAAATATACTAGGCTTGAAAGACAGCATAGCTGATGTTATTGACATTTTAAAATATCTATACACGAAATGCAAAGATCAAAGGTGATGTTTAGCTCAAATAATTCTTGTTCTCTCATGAGATTTCCTAGGCAAGCTTCATGTGCAATGGTCTTCCTATCTGAATAGCACGTGGGATGAAGACTACTAATTTTAATGACCCACAAGATGCGACATCAAGGCAGGTGAGTAGATTAGCTTCAGTGTTGATGTCATACTTGACATCCTCAAGAATTCTGGAAAAGCTCATTGTGATTCCTACTCTGTTTCTCTTTTTTTCTAGCCCAGCACTGAGTGCCTGATGTGACTATCAATTTAATTGCCCATTGTGTCTCTTAATGCAGTGAGCAATGTCTGAACAATTATGCTATTTCAGTCTGGAAGGCTAGGGGCCAACAAGCCAGAAATCCCTCCTCCCCGCCAACTGCCATTTGTCTAAGCTTCTTTGCCTTCCAGACTGCTCACTCTGTTCCTCTTCAGTGCCCTTCCTTTCCAAATAGCGAAGTCAACACAAGTACCTTCCTTCAGCTTAGAAAAGAATTTCATCATGTGATAGAACTGAACAGCCAGGGCTGCTCTCAAATGGTTCTGAAGACAATGGGAAAAATCAAGATGTTATGGCCAGATTGCTGCACTGCTTTATTGTTCTTGTGGAGGCTATGAAACTTCAGCAGGTACACTTCCAGAAATGACTTTAGCCGTTTATATTTTTCATAGGAGATCTTTTCTCCTTCCCGCGTACTTAGACAACCTCAAAGTGCCTAGCCACCAGAGGACCTTTATTCTGGGACAATGTCAAGCTCTCCCCTCAGCTGTCTTTGAAGGCCCAGGAAGATTCCTTACCAGGAAAAACAATGCCCCTGTGAGCTTTGACACACAGAAACAACAGAGCATGTGCTTCTCCATTGCCTGTACAACAGAGACAGTCGTAGTAGTCTCATCTTACTGTTACGGCATAAATACCCAGGGTGCATAGGACAATTTTATATCTGCTTGCTGCTCTCAGATATTAACCTTGCTATAACTCATAAAGTTGACAGGTTCTGTGCAGCAGCACCTAAGTCTGTCAGTTGATGACCTGGGCTATAGACTAGTTTTAATGAGCATTTAGATTATCTTTCTAGACTGCTCTATATTATGACTTAGTCTGTTATATACTTACTTTTATGCTCCCTTACACAAATTTAATGCTCCTAACCCTTCTTTTAGATTCCTTTTAGACTTCTATACACAACATTTTGTTTTATATCTTTTAGATTTTTATTATATTTTAGCCTTTGATATACTTGCTATGCTTTTTAATTGACTGTACCCCTTCCTCCTTATGCTGGTCTTTGACCATAAAGATTTGAATTGATTCTCTCTTCCCCAGGCTAAAGAAACTAAAAAGCTATTTTTGACTCCAACAGCACACAAAGAAGTATATGCCAGTTCATTGACATTTGTTTTTCTTCTAAATAAATAAATAAAGAAAAGAAACAAAAAATCTGATATATCTTGTACACTGTTGTTACATTAGGAGGAATAATAACCAGAATAATGAAAAGAATGATCATACAACATTTTAGGCATTTATGCTATGGTCAAGACTGGAAATATTAGTGATTGCATTATAAATTTTATTTTAGATGCAATCTGAAAGCTCACAGTGAATATCAGATTTCACATATTGAATTTAAAAAATACAAACATCAGTGTGGGTTTGGGTAATGCCTAATATAGATTTTAGTGAGAGGAGAAAGTAAATGCAAAATTTTAGTTCTTTTCCTTTTATTTCAAGGGAAACCTCACTTTTCATGAGAAACATTACAGATAAATAGCTTATAGGATTACTGTCACATCTCTTGCTTACCAGTTAGTATTGCCAAATGAATACTCCTAATTTATTGCCAGAAAAATGTTTAAATTTGCAAGTGAAAATTCAGTTTCAGAAATCAGCTTCAGGTATGATATGAATGTGCGGCTGACTGAATTTTTAATTTTTTTTAAAGAATTTTTAACCTTGTTTTACTGACGGTTGAAGAAGCTGCTCATTCAAAAAATATTACTAAGTTTTAAATGAACTATCACTTACCCATCTTCCTAGCATTCACCCATCCATGGTTGAAGCAATGCATTGTCTGTCTAAATTACTATCATTTGGCACAAGATTCTATAATTTCTAGTGGGAAAATCACAACGTACAGAGGTATTTTCTAATCTTACCCAATTCTCCACTATACACCTTGGGATGTTCTTTGAATTTTAGGCATCGGAACATCAGCATCACATTTTACAAGTAATTCAATGTGATTATGGAAGATAATGTTGAATGTTATTTCATTATTTGCTTCTCTTCTACGGTAAGTTGCATGTTAGGGGATCACTGTTAAAAGATAGTAAATTTCAAAGTATAGGCTCGTAATTCATCTCTTTTATCCAAAATAGAGCATGTGTTCTACTGCATTCTACATTCAGTTAGCATTATGTTATTTACTTGCAGTAATAGATATAAAATTCTGTTCAGACAGTCCAGAAGTTAGTATAAATGTTATTAATGCAACAGAATTTTTTTGTAGATTGTACAAAACTCTCAGGGCTGTGACCACCCCACACAAGAGGTGAATTACCTGAAATAAAAGTAGCATTCTTTTCAAATATATACTTCATACCTGTAGAATATAAATATATGCTCAGATAAAAGGCAATGTTTTTGTGCTACAGCTGTTCCTTGGAGTGAAGTCAACATTCAGAAATTCAGCCTGAGGAGAATCACAAACAAGAAAATCCTTCAAGTTCTTTTAAGAGAAGATCATACCTATGATCTTTTATAGAAATTACTATATCCTAGGTTTTTTTGCTGTACAATATGTAAGTAATCTATAAAAGAAAAACATGCTTTTTCCCGCTTTATTTTTTTAACTCTTAAAAGAAATAAAAACACAATGAAAGTAGGGCAGTAAAAACTGCTAATTGCAGCATTATGTTTCAGAACTATAGCTTAAACTAAGGAATAACATTAGATGCCTAACATGCAACTATATATATTTAAAATGTATGTTTTTAATTATTTTAATTTTAATTATTCTACTTTTGTACAATACGAAGCCTGTATTTATGACTTCATTTGAAGAAATTGGAGAGACAGCTTTGATTATTTCCTTTGTCAGACAAATTAGGAGAATTCTAATTACTTGGATCAACCCCCCAGGGCTGATGTGATTCCCATCTTCAAGAAAGAAAGAAAAAACAAACCCAGGAAACTACAGACCAATCAGTTTAACATCAATATCTGGGAAGATCCTAGAAAAGATAATCAAAAAACGGATCTAAGAACAACTAGAAGCAAACGAAGTTATAACTAGTAGCCAGCACGGGTTTGTTAAAAACAGATCATGCCAAACCAATCTTATTTCATTCTTCGACAAAGTGACTAAATTAATAGACCAGAGAAATACTGTGGATGTAGTATACTTAGACTTCAGTAAGGCATTTGATAAAGTAGATAACAACCCACAACTCCTCAGTAAGCTAGAAAAAGGTGGAATAGACAACATCCATCAGATGGATCTGTAGCTGGCTGGCAAACCACACTCAACGAGTAGTCCTCAATGGTACTACATCCACATGGTGAGAAGTAAGCAGTGGTACCATAAGGTTCCATCTTAGTCCCAGTTCTCTTCAATATATACATCAATATCTTTATCAGGTACATGCAGAAAAACTCATTAGGATTAAAACAGAACCACCTGTTGTCCTTTTGATTCTCATTCAGATATTCTTTTTCATCCAGACAGGCATGAAAGACTCTTTCCATTTATGTGACAAAGACTCATAGTTTTTATATCAAATATGCTCTGCAATCAAAAGATGTCCAATTCTGTTCTAAACCTACTTAAGTTGGAGAAGACCTTCTACCAAAGCGAAACAATGTGGTATTCTCCTGATACTTTGGGCTGAATATGCTTCTTACCATTGGTTATATTGACTGGGCTAGAGAGAGATTTCCAGAGAAGAAGATTGCCCCCCTATCCTTGTTCAGTTGAGGCCTTGGTGTGTTCTCTATTCAACTATGTTGTCTGACTTATTTTTAAACTTTCTGTGGTTTTCAGTATCTGTCTACTTGATTAACTGTGTCACACTATTCTCTTATGCAAATATCTCCCTGCCAATCTTCAGCGAATGTGTCAGCTATGTTTGATATACAAGTGCGTGTGTTTAAATTCTAAAATCCACATAGCTGGCTTTGCAAGCTTATTTTCCACATCATTGAAAACAACAGGAGATACATATTTTTTGATAGACATTGACTAAAGCAGCTTAGAATAAAGAGTCATTTTGGTTTCTGAGAAAATCTGTCTGAAGGAGCCACTGACCACATTTTCCACAAGTAGTTGTTAGGGAGTTTATCAGGGCCCAAAATCTGCATAACGCATTTTGCTTTTGCTATGGAGAGTATAGGGCAGAAAAGTCAATTGAACAGATTTGATTTATATATAAAATATAATTTAAAAGTCCCATTTTTTTAAAGGAATAGGATCGTTTTTAAGGCACATTCCTAGAAAGTACATATATCTTATGGCAATTATTTGGGTGTGTTCATGTTATACATATTAGCAAGTGCCCCTACAACACTTGCTAAGATGTTTGTATATTTTTGTTGCTAAATCTTATGGGCAAATGTAGTAAATGTCACTGATCACTTCAGTTGGGCCATAGCATTCCCTGCATGTTTGTTCCCTCCCCTTTACATGTTGTCTTTGTTCATTTAGCCTAGTGGTTTACACTTATAGTCAAAAGCTCCAAGATTGCAGGAAGACGATGGTCACACTATCTGCTATATGGACCTTTCATTTGGAGATAATATGAACTTAATCTGGAACTGTCTACATTCAAAACACATGCCAGCCTACTGAGCTCATGGTCCTATCACTATCTCAGCTAAGCATAGCTCCAAAAAATAAAAACCCATGTAAATGATAACAGCGACATTTATATTTATTTAGATTTCAGCTGCATCTGATATGTTCCTATATTTCCATACAGCATGTTTTTAAGCAATATTAATGTGCTCGTATTAAAATAAAGCAGAACATTTGCAAACAAAAAACAAAAACAGAGATTATGAATTCAAAATCATCTTAGGGATGGCAAGGTTTCCATAGCACGGCATCCTCCTAAAAGGATGGAAGTACAACTCTAAATGACTACACTGCCTGGGAATTACAGCAGCTGTTGAAGTCCAATCTAGCAGTCAGTCCATTAAGAGATTCTGGTTGCCAAATCCAGTCAATGTGCCACAGTCATTAAAAAAACAAAGTGTACATCAAGCCCTCACAGTTCTGATTTTCAGGCTCTATGAACTATAAAATAACCTTCACTTCATTATTCTGAGAGCTATTTTTGTTAATGTTAAAGATTGTCATCTGCCTTGCAAGATGGTTCAAACAGGAAGCAAGGTCAGATAAATAATTCTATTTTATTGTAAGGTTACGTTATCTGAATCTTGCAAGTTTGAAAGTAAACTTCTCTCCTTACAGCCCTAGAAACTAGGGACAACACCTTTTGAGAGTGTCACTCCTCCATTCCTTTTGCAAGCTAAACTAGTTCTTATCCCACGGCTCACCTGGCTGTGGCTTTCCTCCATCTCCCAAGCTCATTCCAATCTATAAATACACATTCATAGTAGTAGAAGATGGAAATAATCGAATCAATCTGTTTATCATCCATACTTCTAATATGTATAATATTAATTTTACTCTTTAGTTTAAGTTGCTGTGCCAAGCACACAGGAGAGCAAGCCCCTTGAATTGAGTGGGATTTACTTTTGTATAGATGGGCATTGGACTGTGTTCTTCACGCTTAAAGCTTAGTGGATGGACTACTCCCCTTGCAAGACAAGCACAGAATTGCATTGTTAGCATCAGATCATATTGGTCACATTCATTGTCTAATTCAGAGGTCCCCAATCTTCTGGGCACCAGGGACCAGTTCTGTGGAGAGAGGTTTTTCTCCACGGACCGGAGGGAGCGTGATTTTGTGTGCTGCCTGCATCCCATGGATGGGGTTTTGCTTGTTTGTGTGGACCAATTGCTGGCATGCCATGGCCTGGTATCGATCCATGGACAGGAGGTTGGGGACCCCTAGTCTGAATGATGGATACATTACAGAAGGCAACATCTTACAAATGAAATAAATTGAGTGGAAATTCATCACCTGCTCTGCATATCCAATCCTAATGAGGAAGAGCACCCTAGTTCTTTGAAAGAGTTGTTATGGAAAGTGCAAGAGTAGGTCTTTTCAAATGATCAATGAAGCTATTTTGTTTGTCTCATGTGGAGATAGCTAAAAGCAGCTTTTGAAGCAACCATGAGATCATGGGGGAAAAAAACGAGATGGTTTCAACTCTTAAAAATAGTGCTTTGTAAGTGCTCCTTCATATCTCTTTCAAAAGATTAGCATAGCCCTAGTGATGCAAACTCTGTCTTCAAAAAACAACCCTCTGCAGACGTTTTGGAAAAGGTACACGCACAGATCATAAAATTGCTTTTGTCCAACAACTGTAATTTAAATGTCTTCCCTCATCTCTCTCCCTCTCATCGGTTTCTAATAAAGCTAATAATGTCACTGTCCTATTTTCTCTTTTCCAGCTTTTGGCCTGCACTGCAAAGGATTCAATTGTTTTGCGACAGAGGCAAAATTCCATATTAGACAGACAAGAAGCACTTAGAAAAGATAAAAGAAGGATGTCTTGTTTAAGGAAGATGAAGAGAAGTAGTTGTGCTCAGGATGTAGACAAAGTGATCACCAATGGATTTTTTTTTTTTTTTTACAAATGTAACTGAAATAAATTTACCTTATTTCCATACTCACAGTATTTCTTTTAATAGCTACAGGATAAATCCTGCTATGGTGTACACCAGGCTGAACAACAAATCAAGCCCATCTGTATGTCGTAGTCCAATAGGTAGTTCACAACCTTCTTGCTTCTGGAGTCCAGGACTGGCATTACAACCATAAGATTTGTTGGCATCCAGTGGTGAGCTGTCAGATATGGGTTAGTGGAGTACATCCCCTTTGACAGGTCATGTTTTGACTGACAGAGTTTATACCATCCAATTATCTAATAGCAAGCATGATCAAAGTGAAAGCTTTGCCACTTCTTCCGGATGGAATCCATCACTCTACTTAATCAAATCAAAGGCAAAAATGTCACCAGATGCAAAAAGATTTGGACTGCAACATTAATCATGTTCTTACAAAACTTTGCCTGCCCACCTGGAATATCAGGCTTGAGTTTTACTACCATGGCTTTGAAATTTCTTGGTGAAATAATACTTGAAATTACCAAATGCTCCTTTGGGGTAAAAACATTTCCCCCCAAACAAACAAACAATCCTTCCACTGCAAGTTATGAAATATGGACTATTTTCCTCAGACTGGTAAAAAATGGTCCAGTCCCTGAAAGTAAGTGCATACTAAACTTTAAGGCATTTTTATCCATGTATATTCATATTTTGGTATACACAATCTTAAGTGCACACAGTTTTGTGGGGTATATGGGTATTTTGGTCAGCATAATGTTAAATACTGATTTTGAAAATGTTCAGAGAAAAGAAAGCACAATACTTTAGACTGCAATGCTATACCCACTTACCTAGATATAAGTCTTACTGAATTCAAGAGAGCTTATTCCAGTGTAAATATGAATAGCATTGCACAGTTAGTGATGGCGCTTTCAGGACATCTGTATCTGAAACAAACTGTAATTTAAAACAATATGAAGAACAAAAAAGAATGACTTCAACTGAATTTTCATAGCAATTTCCCAGTTAAGCTATTTAAAAAAATGACAATTCATATTACATATATTAAGACATCCTTAATTCCAATCAGCACCACTCAGTTTCTCTGTATGTTAATCTGGTAACAATAAAATTGTAATTAATTGTCTTGTTTTAGCTGAAAGATTGTCACAATTCAAAACTTGGACACTTTTTGTATAATAAGTCTTTAGTTACATTTCTTGGATCTAATCCAATCCGTGCAGGAATATATACATATATATATATGTATATATACATACATATACATATTCATTCCACAACTGGGAGAAATATAATAGTGGTTGATTAAAAATCTAAACAGCAATGACATTGAGTAGATGACCACAGATTCATGTAAGAAACAGAAACAAACATACTCCACAATTTAAGAACGAATAAACTCTGTAAAATGTTATTGTAATTTGAACAACCAACACAATCCACATCAAGTCCCATTAAATCCCAAATTGTACAGTGATCATATAAAAAAGGCTTACTAGAGAAATCTGGAACTTGTGTGTGTGTGTGGGGCAATCCTGTCAATATGCAGACACCTGCTATTAAAAAAATGATTACTGGAACAATTCAGTGCAAAATTATGTGTGTGTCTGTCTTGATAGGATTAGGCCGAACATGTTTTTGCAAAGGTGCCTTTTCCAAGGCAAATCCTGAAAGTATTTATTGAACTAGTCCAAATTTGATAATAAATACTTACAGAATCAAACCCAGTTTTATACATACAATTGTTTTCCCCTACACAATCAGGAAGTGGTTTTCTACTATGTTTTCCCCCCTATAACTAGGGGTTTAATGTTTTAAAAAGAAAACACTCAACAATTGCAAGTGAACATTCAGAGGCTGGGCTAAACATTGAGCTAATATATTCCAACTGCTATTGTGGTGGGAATTCCCTACAAACAAAAACATTACTAATCCTTTTATCACAGGTATTTTCATGTTCAGTAATCAGAAAAAATAAGATCACCCTGTTTGCTGCATGAATCAGCAGCCTCCGTGTGCTGGGGGAGGAATAAGAAAGCAGTTAACTTGACTATAGAATCTGGATAAACGAATCTATTAAAGCAGCTCTCTACGGATGTGAAAAGGAATGCTGGGTTCTCTATTTGTGACATAGCTTTGAACTGTTTCTTTTTCCTTAAGAGAGTACTGACAGAAAATTCTGCAGTATTGCTCCGTGCTTCTGTGAAATGCATTCTAGAACTTTAAAGCTGCAATACAAGGGAAATTAAAGAGAATGGCTCTAGGCATTGAAAGGTACAGGGAGCACAGCACGTTTGATAAACTCATATCCTGTTCTTGGTTTATACGGTTTATACATAACATTCTGTAGGGGATACATGAATAGGCTTTTAGATCTCTTACGCAGCAACACAGAAAACATTGCCTGCACTCTTTACTCTAATAGGTTTTAATGTCTGGGCAGAAAAATGACAGAATATTGCATTAAACCAGTTCAATCAAGCTTTTCTAGTTAACCCTCCCCTTTTTAACAACAGTTGATTATCAGCAGAACAAAAGAGAAAATACAGACTGCTCCACTGAATGATGATAGCCATAATATGAGAACGCCTCCACTTCTGCCTGGCAGAAATCTAGATGACTAGATGGCTGCAAAGAGTTATCATGTCTGCACCTGTTTGCTGCCATCTAGTGGGCATCTGGATTTTTATAGTCCAGCTCTGGAGGCTGTAATTATTTAACTTTCATAATATGGATATTCTTCCTGTTCTTAAGAATCATCTGTTAGTTGCAATGGATTCCCTTATTAGTCTAATAATATTTTATTTATGGACTAAGAGAGCAGACTACTGAATGGTATAATATGTTTTAAACCTGGCAGACAAGTGAACAGATTGTGATGGTTCCCCAAACAGTGTTATTTGGGGAATATTAAAAAAAAGGCTGAATTTGTAAGTTCAGTAAATTTCCTTTTTGTCCAGCTTTGATAGACTTAAAAATAGATACTCTAGTCATTTAGTTTTAAAGTCACAGTTACAATTTATAAGGGTCGAGACCTGATAGCTTTTTCTGTAGACCTCTGAGATATTGCTAAATCGTGTTTTGCTTTTGAAATCTTTTTGCCTAAGAAACAACACTTTATCTAACAATGAGTCATTTTATTGCACTTGGTTATAAATGTCTCAGCAACTTCAATTAAGGAAACAAGCTGTTATCATTCATCCTGAACCAGGCAAAAGAGAGGGGAAAAAGGAAACTGCCCTCATTCAAGTAGCCAAGAGTAATTTTCTCCCTGTACAGCATGTCAGAGTCCAAATAGAAGCCTATGCATTTGCTGAAGTATCCACTTACTCTACATCAGAATATTGTTTGAATTTTTAAAATCTTTTGTTAATTTTGCCACACGGCATGTTCAAAACACATATAATACTATAAATTTGCAGTTTCTCCCTTTTTTCTTCTGCTTAAAGATGATCTGTTTGGAATGACAAGTTCCTTGCTAGGTTGTGTAGACTGACATTTAACTTAAGAGGGGTTAATCTGAATTGTTCTCCTTTTAAGAAAAGGAGATTTGTTCTTCTTATTGGGAGAAAATACAATGTCATACTAAGACAAAGATAGAGAATCAACACTATGGCAACCAGATATGTAGCACATAACATTTTTTTAAAAAAAATACTGACCTCTTATAAGTTGCATTTAAGAAAAAATATAAATGAGAGAAAAGTTCTTTTAGGCACCCATTTTACATTTTGTAAGTTCTAAATACGCATGTTCGAGAATAACGTATCATCTTCCCTACATTGCATGGCATACAGCGTAATCCAGCATTTACATGACCTCTCTCTGCTACCTACACATAAAACAGTGAAGATAATGGCACAGTTACTGCAAACATGTGAAAAATTCTTCAGCCACATGTTTATGTAGGAAACAGTTACTACTTATCTAAGCAAACTAACTTTAAGAAAATGTTTGAGTACCAATGGTACATTAACACATTCCTATGTGTCATCTGTGCCCTGTGATTGGAATAGAGGTTATTCCTGATGTCTGTGCCCATCAATGTATATTAACGTAAAAGCATGTAGGGTTTCAAAAGAAGGTTTCAAATCCTTCTGACCATTCTCATTACTAGACACTGCGCAGGAAGAACAATTCTGAAACGCAAATGTTGACATTGCTTTTGAACACGGAGTAAAATAAAGGAATGCTCACTTTCTTTGCAGTCTTTTAAAAATCATGACACAGTATGAACAAAAAAAAAGGGGGCTACATTCATAAAGAAGCCTCTGAAATATCTGCTGTTTTTAACAGATTTAGAAGGAAGAAAAAAACCCCACTTCCAGTACCATCTATTTACTCTGTCTGCTTCTGTGCTCAGTGTTTGAATAGTTCCTTTCCCCACTGGTACAGCCGAATAGCACCTTTGTTCTTAATAAGAGATTCAGTACCCTTGAACTTAGCATCTACCAAAATATATATATGTATATATATATATATTTATATAATCTCCCATCCGAGAGGAAGAGAAAAGCAGTATCTTATGAAGGCACACCCATGCTGAACAGACAAGAAAATCAAAATCAAAGCATAACTGCCCAGGGCAGTCATATTACAAAGCTCATTCTTGAAATCTGAGTGTCATGCTAGAAGAAAATCTCGATATGTGTTCTAGTTTGAAGAGATGAATCAAAGCCAATGTTATTTAGCCTTTTTCTGTAAAAAAAAGAAAGATTCTGTGTCAATATAGATAGAACCTTATTTAAATAGGGAAATGAATGCTTGTATTGCAGCCTTAAAGATCACATTTTTAACTGCAATTATTTGGGTTCTTTTTATGTAAACTATTGCCTGCACCTTGGCAGACCATGACTGAATGCTTTTGAATCGTTGTAGATTACAAACATGAACTCACAATTAATATCCTCTAAAAATAATTTCACATCTTTCAAAAAGAAAAAGAGAGAAAGGAAAAGAAAAAGGACAATGTGTACTTCTTCACAAGGTAATGCAGCTAATAAAAAAGAGAGTAGAATTAAAGTATTTACATAATGAGCAATTCTACAGAAGGCGATCATTCCCAAATAAGCACTGCTGATTATATCCCACGACGTGTTTTTTTTTTAAACCAACTCTACCAGATTGGATCCAGTCATCAGCACTTTCAAATAATCCTTAAAAGCTTTTCACGGTTCTTTACATTTATTGTAGAACGATGTTCTTCAGGTACATTATGCTGGTGTAAGAGGACAGTGTCAACACAAGGTACCAGCAGGACAAGAAAACTTCTGTGCCCCCAGTGATCCCAAGCTGGGTTGTACTTGGAGCTGGAAAGAGAAGAAAACAGAGTAGTTACATACTGATGTTGTTTCACTATCACTTATTCATTATTTTATTTACTAGAGGTTATTTTTTTTAAAAAAAATCTGCATGTTACGATGAGTTCATAAACAGATTTTAAAAATAATAACCATGTGCTACACAAGCTGAAGAGAGAGAGAGAGAGAGAAATGAATGGGAAAAATGTATACTTCTGGAAAGCTAAAGTTATCCATGGAATTGTTGTTCTTAGCAAAGTTTATTATAAGTCTATATACATTTAATTAAAACTCCTCTTTTTTTGGCTTGGAATTCTTGAAAAGAAATATAAATATGCCTGATAATAATTATCTAGACAAGTCTGGACCATCTTTTCTGGATAATACATTTTACTGCTCTAATGCAGGAAATCTGGGACCTATATTCTTTAGTAGAAAAAAAATGCCTCTGTGTAAAAAGCTCGTTCACTGCATCACTTTTCCTTCAACCTGATACCATTGTTTATTTTCTACTTACAAAGTAGCTCAGCACAACTAAATAATTAAACATGGTTAAATCAAAAGACTGAGATGTTAGGTTTCTCAGTTCAGTAAGGAGCCCAACCTCCCAAGTGGGATGGCTTTGGAGAAAGCTTGGCCCCAAATTAATGGAGATTAATTATTTTGGCCTTCAGTAGCTTTAAATGAACCTCCTCTGAGGATCTCAATAAATGAGTGATATTCTTTCAACTAGCTCGAACTCAGGCCATGAAGGTCTTTAAAGCTCAAACCAGTATTCTATGTTTCTTCAGCAAAAACATGCACCCAATGTAATGCTCTTAACCCAAAGAAAGGAAAAGCTGTTCTCAGCATCTTGAATACTAGGAAATATTCAGACATGTACACCAGGTTTTCTTCCCCTGTTGTATGTTGTAGCAGAATGTAGTTGACAAAATTTTCTGAATCATCTGATTAATAGAACTTTGACTTCTCTGAGTTATAATTAACTGATTTGTGAAATGAGAACTCAAACTTTATTCCTTATTATAATGCAACATTAAGTTTTCTGCTTGTATTAGAGGTATACATTACTCTTTATTATAGTATATGGTGCAAATACAATTTTTAACATAATAGTGCCATAGTATTCCAACTTACTGAGGAAAATTCAGAATTCAAGTTACCTGAAGAAATAATCTGTCAAGTATAAATAAGAATGTCATCCCAGATGAAAAGTATTTGAAACTTCTTTGGGATTATTTTGTTTCCTTTGCTTAGTCATTCTTCTCCATTAGAGTTAAATGCAGATTTCAAGAGTTATTGAGTAATCCCTTTTCAGAATATGTATAAAATATAGCTTTGATTGCATGAATAATTCGTCCTCAAGGAAAAACATTCCTATGTCCTTGCCAGGATTGCCACAAGAGTTCCTGGTAATAATTTGCAATGAGCATTTCTTTGCCAGAATTTCTATAAGCTTGGCCTTATGACATGTTGTTATTAGGAAAAAGGAGAACAATTTTTCAGACTTAAGATGGTACTGAAGCTGTAGCTGATCAGAATAACAGGGAGGTCTGTTACTGAAAACTGTTGCTCATTACATTTTTTTTTTTATGAAAGCATCAACCTTTATTTAACTCTCTGAAAGTAATCTGAAAAAGGAACAAAGCATTTTGGAAACATGATTCTTCACTAGACTCCAGGTAACTTGTATTAAAATGGGTTTATTGTTAAAAGATCAGAACAGTGGTTTATAACACTGGGCACTAACTAACAAAATGAAATTCAATGGTGAAAAAAGCAAGGTTCTACATTTAGGCAAGAAAAACCAAATGCACAAGTACAGCATAGGTGGCACCATGCTCAATAATAGTAACTGTGAGAGGGACCTTGGAGTCCTAGTAGACAATCACCTAAATATGAACCAGCAGTGTGCTGCAGCTGCCAAAAAGGCCAACGCAGTGCTAGGCTGCATTAACAGAGGGATAGAATCAAGATCACGTGAAGTATTAATACCACTTTACAATGCCTTGGTAAGGCCACACTTGGAATACTGCATCCAGTTTTGGTCACCACGATGTAAAAAAGATGTTGAGACTCTAGAAAGAGTACAGAGAAGAGCAACAAAGATGATTAGGGGACTGGAGGCTAAAACATATAAGGAACGGTTGCTAGAATTGGGTATGTCTAGTTTAACGAAGAGAAGGACAAGGGGGGACATGATAGCAGTATTCCAATATCTCAGGGGCTGCCATAAAGAAGAGGGAATTAAGCTATTTTCCAAAGCACCTGAAGGCAGGACAAGAAGCAACGGGTGGAAACTAATCAAGGAGAGAAGCAACATAGAACTAAGGAGAAACTTCCTGACAGTGAGAACAATTAATCAGTGGAACAGCCTGCCTCCAGAAGCAGTAAATGCTCCAACACTGGAAGTTTTTAAGAAGAGACTGGACAGCCATTTGTCCAAAATGGTGTAGGGTTTCCTGCCTGAGCAGGGGGTTGGACTAGATGACCTCCAAGGTCCCTTCCAACTTTACTACTATTACTATGACTAACAGTGTTGGGGGAGGAAGTTTATTAGTGAATGTAAGGTATAATCCCTATTCAATTTTCTATCACAGGTTATAATAGCACATAATAAAGAGGAAATATATTTATTTTAATATGCTCTGTACCATTATTTCTTGTTATATTATGTTTGAGAAATAGAGAGGATGCCTTTGTGTGTGAGACAGAACTACCTCAACTTTGTAATCTTCTTGTCAGACCTCTTGTGTAGACGATAAGATATGGGCATTTTATTCCTTGGACAATAACTTATACTGAACCAATGTTTGAACTTTTGCCACATTTTTCAGAATCAGATCATGGTCTTCAAGAAACCCTGAAAGTCAGCTGGGTAATTTTGGGTTAGTCATTCTCTTACCCTGTTTTTGTGGGAAAATAAGATATGGGAGTATTACATATACTGCACTGAGTTGTAAAAAAATAAAGGTAGGACAAAAATACAATTATAATAATTTTGATCCCTGTGGTGTGTTAGAAAATAAAGGATATAGGCTTCCCCATCTAGTTCAGCTTGCCAAATCGATCTTTTGCATGTGGAATAATAATAATAAAAAAATGCTTTCCAGCCAACAGCACTGAACAATTACTGACACTTGAATAAAACATCTTATTGAAATATATATATTTTAAGTAATCTGGGATCCAACCAAATCAGAAACTTGTATCTTTTCTCCCTCAATTAATTAAATATATTAGCCTATCACATAGACACATTCAATTTAGCCAGACTCTCTTCTTTCTCTAAAGTTTGAATGAATTTTATATCTTTCCACCCACTTACCCATGTAAGTGATATGTTTTGGATTTATCTGCTGGATAAATCTATAAATATCACCTACATTTCTTCAAATTTCCTGAAAATCCCATGATTTATGGTTAGTGCATTGAGCTGTTAGGAACAGTAGAATATGGCAGGTTCCTTATTCCAATAGACCAGGGGTGTCAAACTCAATTTCATTGAGGGCCGCATCAGCCTTGCGGTTGCCCTCAGGGGGCCAGGTGGGTGTGGCCAGGGTGGGTGCAGCCTACTGCGTGGGCGTGGATGGAGTGAATGTGGCCTACTGGGTGGGCATGGCCAGCTCTACATCGTTCACATCAAGGGTGCCTGTGGGGGTCTGGGCAGGAGTGGGACAGATCTGAGGGTTTCTGGCAGAACGGGGTAGGACCAGGGCAAGTGCCAAGGCATGGTCCACTGGAGGAGCCTCACTGTTCCTCTCAGGCCATGCGGGGGGAGGGCTGGATGGTGTACGGACTGCCCAGAGCCCTGGGCAGCAGAGGTCAAACACCCAGCCTGGTCCTCGAGCACCCATGGCACCAAGCCCAACCCCACTTCCCCAAGGGGGCACCCAGCTGCCCTTACCTCTTCCTCAAGGCTGCTGCTGCTGTGCTTGCTCTCCTTAGCCAGATTGCTATGATGGGTACGAGGGCAAAGTCAGAGGGAGGCCCATTCCCTCTCCATGGGAGTAGACCCGGCTTTGTATCCAAAGCTTCCTTAGCAATAGGATGGGAGACCCCCAGGATAGGCCAGGAGGAGGGGGCAAGGGGAGGATGAAAGGGCAGCAGGGCAGGACTAAGGCAAGACTTCCCTCAGACCCTCCCTCTCCTTCTTTCTTTCCTTCCTTCCTAAGTACAGAGTGGTGGGAAAATATTTGAGATGAGGGAAGGAGAAAAACAGGCAAGAAAGGCAACTGGGGAGGTGTCACCCTTCGTGAGGAATGAAGAAATGCACCATCGCCTGGAAGTGGCCAGCACATGGCCCTCACCTACATCACATATCTGGTTTAGTGGGCTCTGGGGGAGGGGATGCCATAAGTCAACATTACCTGCTCAATGCTGCCCAGCCCCCAGCCTGCCCGGTCTCGGCAGGCAGTGGGGCACTTTCTTTACAGAGCCAAGAGGCTGAACCGGGCAGCACAAATACAGAAAGAAGCACAATGCCACCCAGCCCCCAGCCTGCCTGGTTTTGGCAAGCAGCAGGACGCTCTCCTCACAGTGCCAAGAGGTTGAGCTGGATGGTGCGAAGCTCGTTAGCTTTGCACCTTGCTGCCTGCTGAAACCGGGCAGGCTGGGGACTGGGTGGTGTCGTGCTTCTTTTTGGATTTATACTGCCCGGCTCAGCCTCTCGGCGCTGTGAGGAAAGCGCCCTGCTGCCTACCGAAACCCCTCCCCCGGAGCCCATCAAGCCGGATATGTGAAGTAGGCAAGAGCTATTTGTTGGCCACTTCCAGGCGATGGTGCATTTCTTCATTCCTCACAAAGGGTGACATCTCCCCAGCATGCACCCAGAGGGCGGGGCCGACGTGGCAGGGGCTGGTTCCACGCTGTTTCCAGATAGCCTTGTGGAGCTAAGACTGAATGTGTTTCAGCATAGATGGCCACCACAAAATTGTACATTGGCTCCTGGCTGGCCTGGGCGAGGACCAAGGCAGTTCCCTCACTGTTTCCAGAATGGCTTCGTAGGC